TAAATAAGCGAAAAATTAAGGTTAAAAAAAAAAGTATGATCGAAGTAATGCCTGAATACAAGAAGAAGAAGAAGTAATGCTCGCGCTTTCTTATGTTAAAACAAATGTTTTTACTGTGGAGATCAGATTGTTTTTTTTGGTCGTCAATGGCTACGTGTTAAGACAAAAATACATTAAAATGATTATAGACAGAGATTGTAAGTGTCAGGATTTGATTCCGCCGCACGATTTTTGAGGTAGAGAGAGGTTTCGTGTTCCAAGCCATCATGCAGTGACAATTATATGCCAAGTAAGACACATTTCAATAAACTGTAATTTCAAGTATTAGATCTATAAGGTCCTATAGTCCATGATAAAGGGTAGGACTAGATAAGAGATAGTATATGTCGTATATGTGGCATCCCACGTTACATTATAAGCTTCTTATATGATTGATTTGACTCAGGCTTTTAGGAGCAATAATTATATACACATAATTATGGAAAAAATTGTTCAAAAATTCTAAAAATATTATACAGTGGTTAATTCAGTCTAAACAATTATATTTAGCTAACTTAGTCATAAACTAAGATCTTTCAAGCCAAATGACATAGATGCCGACCATTCTACGTAGCACAGTCGGTGTTGACATGATTGTCATTGATGTGGATAATTTTTTTCTTTTTTTCAAAATGTTTTGAACTTTTCATAATTTTTTTTATCTTTTATTGTCTTTTCTTTTTTGCCTTATTTTTTTTCCACTGTTCATCTTCACAAAATGGCCGACGGGGTTCACCCGGGCCTCGGCAATGGCTGGCCACCCAGTAATTGTAATATTACTTATATCACAACCTCGAATTAATATTATGCGGCGGAAAGCCATTTTTGTGTTATGCTTACCGTTTGGGTCAGAAAGCACTATACTGCTTATACTAAGTTAATTTCTCTTGCCCAAATACACTTTTTCTTGAAAATGTAATTACGTTTTTCAAATGGAAATGTTAGGTGCGACACATCTCTAGGCGTCCGTCCAAGTTCGAGTTTTCTAAGTTTTCCTATTTGACTGGATCATACAATGTGACTGAGAGAGATATGATATGAAAGAACGACGACTTTGAGGTGGCCAGTAGAAGAATTTGGGTTGATTTTGATGATATTGATATCTTTGATTTCGAGATGACGGAAGTATAGTGACGAAAAAACAAAAGGGTCAGCATAATGGATCATCTCGTTCGTCATGCTAGGGTTTTTCTCCGGCTAATGTTCTTGCCTACTTTCCTTCAAAACAGTGATTTAATTACGATATGATTCTCGTGCAATGTCGTTTGATGCGCATGTATGTCGTGTGCGAAACGCAAACTTTTCCCAAGAGACGTGCCGATTTTTGGTCGTAATACAAGTTGCATGAAATGTAAATATATACTTTTGGGTCATGGGATGATTTCTACACGAGAAATTACCTAGAAATCGATCGATAACGTGATAAGAACCAATGGATAGAGGTTAGGTTGGAATACTTGTGGAAATGCATATGATTTGTGTTGAAAACATTGAGCTAGATGGAACATGTAAGCTGTTAGACATATATTTAAGATATTTTGTGATTTTGTATATTTCCCTTGATTGGTCCCGATTGATTGTACCTAAAACTTTGTTACTTTAGATAGTCGTCATGTAAGGCCTATATATAGGCTCATGTATTCTTCACTTGGTATTAAATAGAATATTGCATCTTTCTGTTTCACAACTCTCAACTTGGTATCAGGGGCATCGTCATTAATTAGTCTAATAACATTAAATAGATGATGGGCAAAGGAAAAAGAAGTGCATTTACTTGCCAGACAAGTTGCACCATAATGAAACAAAAGAAGAAGCGGATAGAACGAATTTAAAAGAGAACTATATGTTTCTTTTTCATATGCGTGCGTGAGAGAGAGAATGCTTCCACGTATGGCATGGCCATGTGCCACGTAGGAGGGGCTGTTGTGGCTGTGTGCCACGTAGGAGGGGCAACAATAACTGAATCGTTACATTAGCGATTTCCAGCAAAAATTGACGAGAAAGATTATATTGAAATTTTGCTCAAAAATTAAGATTAAATTGGCAAAATTGAAAAATGTAGGACTAAGTTGATATCCGTAAATATGTTTAGAACTGATTGGGTAATTTTCCCAATATGCCATTGACTCGACAAATAACTCGCGCAATAAAATTTGACAAAAACAAACTTTATTGCTCTAGAGGAATCTTTTTGACAAGATATAATTAAATCAGCTGAAAAGTAAAAATAAAAATAAAATGAACAAAGTAATGCTCGCGTAAACACTATTGCTCTAGAAAGCACGCACGATATGTTGATGCCTGTTGACACAAAGATGCTTCCTTATTTTCTATTTAAAAAGCTGTCATTGTGTTTAGTCAAAATATATAGGACTAAATTGATTAAATTGTGGATTTAGGATTAAATTGATTGCCGTATAATTGATTTTTAACTTTTTGAACAATTTTTCCTATAAACATTCAGCGAATAAACATACCTCTACCTATAGATGTCCCGAGAGTAAGTTTTAGATGAGGTACGTATGTATTCACTTAATGGGCGTCTTCAATTGTAGAACGCGGGAACACACAAGCAACTCCTCAAGTGGTATTTGGTGTCTTCTAGTTTATGCTTTATGAAACTTCAACAAAAAGCCTTGATTGATGGAGAATATGTATATAAACACTTTTTACCATTAAGAGAGCCTTATCTAGATTAATAAATTTTACCTATAAATAGGAAGCTTAACCCAGTAATTTTAACATTACTTATTTCACAAACTCGAATTAATATTACGTGGAAAGCCATTTTTGTGTTATGCTTACCTTTTGGGTCAAAGAGCACTATAATGCTTGTACTGAGTTAATTTCTCTTGTCCAAATATTTTTTCTCTTGAAAATGTAATTACGTTTTTCAAATGGAAATGTTAGGTGCGACACGTCTCTAAGCATCCGTCCAAGTTCAAATTTCCTAAGTTTTCCTATTTGACTATTTAAGGAGCTTTCTCACTATTTTCTAACCCAGTATGTGAACGTTGAAAGTAAAGCATGCACTCACATCATTTAGTATTAACAATTCGGATCAGAATTTTCAGTTTACTTAGAAAGCATCTAGGCTCTTTACTATGCCTAAAAATTGGCCGCCCTGCTAAGTTCCCCCTTCTCTTATCCATGGCTTCTTTGTTGTATACATGATAAAGTTGTGGAGTGTAAACTCACAGGGATGTTGACCTATTTAATCTGACTGGACCTATCTATGCTGATCTAAGAATTTTTCTGTTGTATATTTACTTTCTCAACTTTTGGTCTCTTTACTTCTGGTTTTGTATTCTTTTTATATCCATTAATTACTTGTTGCAGAATGACTGCTTCCGTGGTAGTTGTTGTTATTGGTGAATGCATCTTTTTCTCCAATTTGACTGTCATTCCACATTTCAGGATAAGATACGTACGTTTATTACTTTTCTCTTCTATGTGCATATAGGGTCTAACCATGGAGGAGCGTGAGAATATTCATCCAGAGGCTAGGCCATTTGGAAGAAAGGTTTAAGAAGTTCATCGTCAAGGTTTGAGGGAAGGCGCATCCCTTGTAGAAGTGGTTTGTATCATTTACTTTGTATAATTGTGCGATAAGCATGATACACCGTGTTGAAGTTTTATCTGCTCGTTACATCCTCACAATGATGTTCAGATTATTCTCCATTCAAAAGTTTCTCTTTGTCCTTTATCTTTCATTGAAATTATCCTTGTCCCGGTACTTCTTCCTAGCATTGACAAGCCTGGAAGATGATTGAGATTGAGCAATGGAGGATATCAAGCAAGATCACCCTTATTGTATCTTTCAGGGCCAATTCTGCTTTCCTGTTGGAAATTTCCTACTTTCTCCCAAAGTTCTATGTCAACGTCGTCCTTTAACATTACAGGAGATTGTCCATCATAAAGATTGCAATTCTCATACATATGGATTTTCTCTTCATGAAAATATCTATCTTTTGACAATTGATTTGCATTATTGTGGCTGTTCTTCTCAAGATCCTAGGTACCTTGTGCTTGCCAGGTGCGAGAAGTCAAGCCTGATGTGCTACTTGGATTATCTGCAGTTGGGGGCCTTTTTTCGAAAGAGGTACATAACTTTTTGCCTTATAGATTAGTTTCCCAGGTTATATCTAGACATATGCTCATAAGAACAATAGCAGAAATACACTGAAACTAAAGCCGTGTAAATTTTTCAACTCTATAGTAGGAAGACAGAGTCTTAGGTTGCATATGTGATAATTTCTGATTTGTATTTCACGTAGAAAGCAATCTCTATGACATGCTCATGGATTTAAGTCATGTCACAAGACACCGGGAATCCACATTGTATGTAGAGGTCTTAGCCATTTCAGGTCAAAATATCTGATTTGTCTAATCATTTGATTGCAGAAGAGAAAAATTGGAACTCTTATGTCATATTTAACGGTACTAATAGTTTTTTATCCTATATCTATGTGCAGATGCAATGATTTCTTTTGATATAATGAGAATCTTAGAGGAGAGACGCTGGAATGGAACTCCTGTATGCCGACTGATCATTCATCGACAAAATCAAGATACACATCAGTAACTTCAAGGTCGTCTTTGGCAAGAGATATTAATCTCATGTGAAAATATTACATGACGACAAAAAGGTCGGTACTTGTACTGGTGTTTGTTTCTTTTGGTCAAAAAGTCTGAGGTACGTAGTTTATCAATGCAACCGTGCATAAGAATGAATTTTTATTTCTAATAGCCACAGATTTCATTATTTGCACTTTAACTTATCTGTTGTGGAGGGTAGGAAGTAGTCAAAATAAATTGATAGATTAGTTCTTCCATCTTAGTGGATAGATGCTTCATTACTGTGATCATCATGACTTCTATTTTCCAAGCCGTTCAAGTATTACACTGCCACACATTACACAATGTCTGAAAACCACAACAGCTTCTCTAAGACAAAAGCTGGACCAAGGTCCGCTTTACCCCCATTCTCGATTGCCTGAGCTCAAAACCCAAGCCAAAGAGGGGGTTTGGAAATAGTTTTCAACCAGGATTAGACATGCCTCGGTTAGTACCTCACTGGCTGCATCATTGCCCAAAGCGCAAAGATGCTTAGACAATGAGGAAATCCGTGCTCTTATACAGCTTATTAGTCATTTCCTTCTTCCTACCGTCGATGTAGGACACCACTTCCTCACCCTTCTCATTGGCTGATGCAAAACTCAAAAATCAAAGGTGAGGCACGGCCTCCAGAAAATTGAATATCAATGATGTTCGTAGCATATGCACATGATGAAGAAGATTTTCGACACAGTCTCACTATGCCATAATCAGAAAAACTCCACTTGATTCTGCTTCCACGTATGTGCCCGGAATTGATCAGGATGAGGTTGACAAAGACGATAGCGAGACACGGCACGGCGGGAGCAAAGAGTAGTTGGGCAAGCTCGATAGACTACATTGTCCCTTTCAAAACTCAGCTTAGATGACAAAAGAAAAAGAACCCTAAGCAGATCTAATTATAATGGGCACACACGTACTGGATCATGGTTGCATGAGAACTCTCCTTTACAGAAGTGCAAAAGATACGAGGCAGCAACTTTCATTTAAGTATGTAACCTGCAGCAGGTTCTATCCACGAGCATCACCATTAAACTTGATTCTTCATCGACTCATGCCTCACTCAGTCATCAAGATAACATTGCATTCTATCAGAAAGCAAAACAAGCATGCAAGAGCGCGCACACATTCACACTCGACAGTGATCCATGCACAACGGTACACGCTCATGCGCTCACGAGCACAAGGTATGTGATCATCAAGGTTTTATGCAGATGCAAGTTTGAAAAAGATAAACTCTTTCCTCTCTCTTTTCAACTAAGCAATCACAGACCAGTTCTCATTGTATCTCATCCAACTCACAAGCTCTCCTCTGAATTAACTAGAATAGCGGCTCCTTGAGCGAGTAAGGACTTAGGGCGACCCCGTTTGGGGCGATCCAAGCTGGGGGTGGCCACAGGATCCTCAAGCGATCAGGCGAATATGATGCCCTCTTGACGCTGCGATCCTCCATATCGAAAACTTGAACTTTTCCCTCTCGAGTCCCGTCAAACTCCGTGAAATATATGCAGTTCCCCTTGCATCCTCCGAATCCTTTCACCGACACCGAGAAGCAACTGTGATCGCCCAGAAAGAGAGCAACATCACCGAGATTCCTTATCTCATCCCATTTTCCCCATTCTTGATTCAGCCGATAAACCTTAAAATCAGCGGCCTCCCTCACCGTGCCTGCCCGAACCCTACTAAATGGACACTCCTCATCAAAATACCTACCCACGACATAGAGGTCTCCGCCCGACTCCACCAGATAATTCCGGTCCCCGCCATTGCCGTCACCGCAAACAGGAGGCGAGAACTGCACGATCTTAAAAGAAGGGTCGATCCACGACACGATGCCGAACCTATCGACGACATAAAACTGCCCTTTGTAAGCAATGAGATCGTCGTACTGGCAACTCGAATCGCCCATCGCATACCAATCCTCATCCCCATGTTTCCAACACACCAACCCCCCTTTCCAAAAAATCCCGACGACCAAAGCCTCCTCAAGAACAGCCCATGGAGAATCCGGAAGCATGATCACCTTCCTCGCTTCCCCATAACAACTTCCTCCAATCTCGTCTATGAGATAACGCTCTACAAAAATCTCGGTAACCCTATAATCCAAAGTACACAAAACCTTAGGAAAGGTCCCACCCTTGAACAAGATGGGTCGGCTCGAGAGCGGATTGAAGAGCCGAACCCTGCCGCCTCGACCACTTAGGTGGTCGTCCTCATCGTCTTCCGCGATCTTGATCAGCCAACCCTCACGAGACGGAGGGCACCGCGAGTCGTCCTCCGGAGACGTTGGCGGTGGTGGCTCGAGAAGGTAGACCCTGCGCTGATAGATGGGGTCCCCACCAATTCTGAGATCCAACTCGGAGACGGGAGGGATCGAGGAACGCCACGACGAACAGACGCTGCGGAATCGGACGACGTCCATGTCCGTGTCGAGCTTTTTCCCGATCATCGACCACAGCTCCGGCTGGAGTTCCGACCACGGGACCGATCTCTCCATCGCTAGACGGTTTGGTGATTGCAGAGAGAGAGTTCGAGATTTCGATCGGAAGACAGTCATGCCTTTCCCACCCCCATTAAATATTTCCGTGCTTCTTAACTGTACCACCAAAAATCTCGAATTAATATATTTATAATAAATTTACTTCGAATTAATTTTTTTACCACAAAAATCTTAAATTAATACAAATTTACTCTAAATTAATATTTTGATCACCAAAAATTTCAAATTGGTACACTTACGATAAATTTACCCTTTGTTAAATTGGATTGATACCGCGAAAAATTACAAATTGATTAAGATGTGAATAATAGAGGGGTAAAATCCAAAATTGGTACACCCGTCAATCGCCACGTGTAATCTAACTAGGAAATTTGACGGTGAAATCAAATGGAAATTAACGGAGAGTAAATTTACCACATGTGTACCAATTTGGGGTTTTTGGTGATCAAAAAACCAGTTTGGGGTAAATTTATCAGAGCTGTACCAGTTTGGGATTTTTGGTAATACTGACCATTTCAATTGTAATGACATTTTCCGAAACATTTCAGACAAAGCAGCTGGACAGGCTATGTACTTTTTGCTCTGCATTTCATTATTAATGTGATTTAACCACGTAACTTTTTTACCATTCGCAATTTAAGTACCGTCAGCCACCTATTTGACTTCAGAGTGGTGAGGCCACTCCACAATTTTTTAAAACTTTAGGGATAATGACATGAACAATCCCTAGATTTATGCCCAATGTGCACTTTGATCTCCGAACTTTTAATCTGTTTAATGTAGTTCATGAACTTTAGGTTAATGTTCAAATATGATCCCTGAACTTTTAATTTGTTCAATGTCATCCCTGAACTTTTGGTACACGTTCAATTCAGTCCCTGAACTATATGAAAATGATCAATGTAGTTCCTGAACTTGAATTAATGGAAATGATTGAATTGAATGTGTACCAAAAGTTTAGGGATGACATTGAACAAATTAATAGTTCATGGATCACATTGCACATTGGATTAAAGTTTGGGGACTACATTAAACAAATTAAAAGTTTATGGACCAAATTGCACATTGGGTTAAAGTTTAAGGACTGTTTGTATCATTTTTCCACAACTTTAATACATTCGACCGAGAGCAAAATGCAATAGAAGGATGGAAAATTAAGCGAAAATATAGCCTTGCCACCACAATATGTATTTAACACAAGAATATTTTTAATGAAGAAATCCAATTGAGATACCAAATGACCCTTCGCACATAATCGACGAATAAAGATGGAAAAAAAAAATCATAGCTAACCTTATCGTTAGCGAGAAGTCAATGACGGGAACACCTAACTTAGCTTTCTGCATCTAATGAGCAAAATCAACAAACATAATTTATCATTTATGGCATATCTGAATCCTATAGTCAAACCTTATCATTTATAGCATATCTAAATCCTACGGTCCCGATGTACGTGTAAGTGAAATCGGTGTGTTTCATACTAGGTTCCTGACTCCGGCACTATTCAACACTTAATTTTTGTTTTTTTTTATTAAATAGCCCTGAGTATGTTATAATATCCATAAATTATAAGAAACTCCAAATTGTCGACGTGGGATCTCGAACTTGAGCTCTATTTTGTCTTAAAATGTAAAAAAGCAACTTTTCTCCTTCCTTGTAGATAGATGTGGGATTTCACACTTGGGCTTTATTTTTCTTTTTCACTTTTAGTCATCCTAAAAATGTGTCTTACATGGATATGCAAGGAAAAAAGATGTGTTGCCATTTTTACTTTTAATCCAATTAGAGAACAAAAGGTAGACATGTATGCTTAGTCCCGAAGAAGAGAATTGGACCGGTCCTTTCTAGTTAGATTCCTGGTTCCAAATTTTGGTTTTGAAACTGGGAGCCATAGGGTCGGTTCCCAGTTCTAGGCCGAAGACTGTCCCACCCTGGAACCAATCACTTTTAATCTTAGTTGACCCATAACTCATTGTATCGCCAAGCTGTCGCGACTTTACATCAGGTTACTCCACCTAGGGTTTCACTAATGGATTACTAAGGGTGCGTTTGGTAACCATTCTGGTCCCGAAAATAATTTCTACTAAAAAATTATTCTTTTTTTTTTTCCATTCCTGGGAATAATTTCTAACCATTTGAAAGCGTCTGGTAACTGCACAAAATTTTTTTTATTAATAATATTTCAATAATATTTTGATTTTTTTAATATTTCTTTCTTCTTATTTTTCCTTTTTTTTTTCTTTTTTTTTCTTCTTCCCCTTCCTTGGCCCATGGCTAGGTCGCCGGCGTCGGCGACTGGCCACAAGCCAAGGCCAGCGAAGGCAACGTGGCCCTCGCTGCTTGGGCAAGGGTCGCCCTCCCCAAATCTGGCAAGGGCTGGACCCTCGTCGCCGCCATTGCCTAGGCCGGCAAGGGTGCCTAGCGGCCTAGACGAGGGCAGCGGCGAGGGTCGCCCAGGCAACGAGGGTCCAGCCCTCGCCCTTGCCGACCACTGGCGAGAGCCGCGACGCCCTCGCTGGCCCTGGCCTGTGGCCGATCACCAGTGGCCGGTGACCGGCCCCAGGCCAGGAAGAAAACTAAGAAGAAGAAGAAGAAAAAAAAATTATTTTCCATTTCTAATTCTTATTCCCAGAATCAAGAAAGAAACTTTTTTTTTGCTTCTTGATTTTGTTCCAAAATTAATTCTTGGAACAAATTTGTGCCCGGGAACAAAAAATTTACCAAACGGATTTCTGTTCTTTTTTTGTTCCGGTGAACAAAAGAACAGAGAATCAGAGAATCTGGAGCGTTACCAAACAGACCCTAAGTCTAAACTTAACTTAGGCTCTCTCAAGCCCCTACCAATTCGCAACTTAGGTTCTAATTCTTAACATGCAAATGATTTCATTTAGGATTCGCCACTAATCTATTTTTAGTGGGTCGATTAGAAACCTAAGTAAAGTAATGGGAAGATTACTTTACTCTTAAGAACCAGAGATTATGGGTATGGAACTTGTTTACATTAGATTACTCTAACGCCCTTTTGGTACCTTTCTCTTTAATTTCAGAAAAAATGTTTGTCAAGCAGCTTGTATTGATTTTAAACCTATTTACTAACATGTGAGGTGATTATACAGGTGCGCAATCAATAATTTAACAACCAATAATCATGCAATGAATAAATTGCAAAGGCAATGGAGTAAGCATTGTGAGCTAAAAAATCACATCAACAACTTAAATATAAATTCTAATTAACACGCAATTCACTCAATATTTTTAGGGTTTTCGCTTATTTAGGAAAACTAAACTATATGCAATGCATGCTACTAGTCTTACATGACAAGCGACGTACCATTTACCTAAATGTCCTATTTCTAATGATGATTAAATGGACTATTCTAATATGACGGGCAAATATGACTTTATTCTAATGACTGACAAAAATCATTATCGAACAAATAATTTCATGGACTTAACATATAATTGCTAAATGACACGCGAGCAATGACACATGACAAGTTATGAATGACGTGTCAAGATGACATGCAAGCATGGTGTAATTAATCTATATGACATGCACAATGCACATGACACATTTTTGGATTTTCCATTGAAATTCGAAATTAGAAAATAATGAATATTTATTATCTAGTGCAAGATATTATCTAATTCATTTTAGGAATTAAACTAGACCAAATCCTAATTTAAATTTAAATGTTATCCTAACTAGATAAACCCTATCCTAGCATGCAATCTATCTAGAAAGGAAAGATTCTAACCTATATTATAATTTATTTAGAAAGATTATCTAATATCTATTTAAACATGCGATGTTATCTATTAAAATTTACCATCATCCTATCTAATTTTTTGGGATTTCTTTTTTGGTAACATAGAATCAAATCAAATCAGAATAAAGGTCATACCAAATAAAAAATAGCATCCAATCACCCAAGATATCATCCATATCCATTTAAATTTGGAAAATAAATTGACAAATAGTATCCCATGCATGAGGATCGGATTGGCTAATATTCCGTGCAATCGCGAATCGTATCTCAAGCAGGAGACTGAATTGATGATTTTCTGTGCGAGAGTCGTATTTCGAGCATGAAATCGGAATAGCAATCATATGCATGTTGTGAAATTAGGAAAATATCCCAATTCACGGATTTCAAAATTTTTTTTGGATATGACAATATTGACACATCATGTAATTGGGATCACAATAAACTCAAATTAGGCAACTTAATATATCGAAATTGAATCGGATAATATATTACCTAATTACGAAAATATCCCAATTCACGGATTTTTCCTCTCTCTTTTCTCTGTGTTTTCTCATGTCTCTAACCACGGCTGTGAATCCGATCCAATTGAGCGACCTAGAAGCGTTAAGCACATCAAGATTTTGGATTGACTAGGTCCATTATCTGCGAGATTGTGACGATAGATTCTGGTATCATTACTTTTTTTCATATGTCCTACATTCAGCAACCTGTGTTTGTCGAGTCGAGTCAATCCGTCTCACCGTCGAATTACTAAAGCGATGAATTCTATTGAGAGCTTGACTGCAAGGGTCATGACCCCTCTTCATTTCCCGCGTCGACTGGGCCTGGGCGGCATTGACCGCATTCAGTAGCGCCATGTCAGCAATGCCATGCCATCGATCGAATAGACTGATATGGATGCAACCAAATATAACTTGACTGCCCGAACACAGAACGTTAGAAGACTCAATTGCACAGAAAGAACATATCAGAGGATGAAATTGTGTAAAAAAAATTACAAGTCTGATCAAAATTGGACTTTAACCTAAGAACAAACTATGGCCACATGAAAAAATTTACTGCTTTCAGTTAAGCTGAATGCACTCCATGAACATGTTCCCAACATAGATTGCATGACCCCAGGAGTAATTTATATGACAAGCACAATCTATGCTACAAAAGAACCTGCAAACTACTGGGCAATGCGATTGAAGATGACAGGTTCTCAGAGGTTGGGCTGCTGTAGCTTTAGGATACAAGGAATTTAGAGAATCTTCATAAACAGAGTCAAGTATTTACCAAAATAGCGTAGACAATGACAAACCGGATTTGTGAATTCGATTCAGCAGCATGTAATATATAATCAGCAATGAGTCCAATTGAAGTTTGCCATAACTTCCACGCTTGAAATTTTGGTAATACGCTTTACTCTGTGGCTACAACACGGGTTCGAATAGAAATTTTGGATGCTGATGAAGTGAATGTTAAATAGATGATTGAAATGTAAATTTCTTCTGCAGTGAAAATAAATTTCCTTCAAATACTGTTGTACTTAGAAAGCTACCAACATTAACGTAAACTTTTGGCTACTTCTTGAAAATCAGCTAAGATGCTTCGATTTTCGATGGCTTTTCCTTTTGAAGTCTCACCAAGGCAACATGCGCAGTTTTTCAGAAGTAGAAACTGCTTTGCCGAAACCACTTCCAAACACCCATGAAATGGGCCAATCAGATTTGTTCCAAGTACCCTCTAACTAAAAGCTACATACACATCAACATTAACCAACCATCTAACTGTGGGAATACTAAATTCTGGAAGAGAATCTTAGAACTTCATGATAAAGCATACCTCTCTTCTCAGATTACATAAACTGCAGAAATGAAACTGTAACCGTTTGAGTAGCAACTCACCAAACAACCGAATATCTCCAGCCATAGCCCCGTGACAGAACAGAACTCGCTCCTTGGTGCTTGACATAGCAACCCTACACTCATGTGGTCGAATACGTCGGAAGGTAGCACTCGGTGGCGCATCACTTTGTCAAAACATCAATCACCGGGCAATATTACGTAGTTCAGTGAGAAACCCTCAAATCTAACATTGGCCCATAAACCCGACATCAACTGGAACCGCCAAAAGTAAATCCCCTTTCGGCAGCATAATCAACAAAACTGTAGAGAGGTGCGACTCTGTCACCGTATTTCTCAAAAGCGCCAAGTTCCTTCCTAGCCTTGTCCTTAAGCTCCTCAGCAACCTCCAAAGCCTTCTCAATCCCATATAACCGCACGTAACTCTTCCCTTCTTTCTTGTTTTTCTCCTCATCGATCGTTCCACTCTTCGTTTTCTCTTTGAGTATGTCCTCTACTACCTGATATAGTACTCCAACAGCTCTTCCATATCTCCTCAATCTTCTTATCTCCTCATCTTCGGCACCTCCTAGTAACCCTCCACAAACTGCAGAACACTCTGCCATTTCTCCAAATTTCTTCTCTTGAACAAAGTCAACTGAGTTTGGACCACCTTCAAGATCCAAGAACTGCCCAGCAGCCATGCCAGTGGATCCCACAGATCGGGCAATCTCCGCTATCACTCGGAGGAGGCGAGGCTCTGGCACGAGGTCAGAGGGTGTCTGCGAGACTATGTGACGGAAACCAAGAGGAAACAGCGCATCTCCTGCTAGGATTGCCATGTCAACACCGTATACGGTGTGGTTCGATGGCTGGCCCCTGCGCGATGGATCATCGTCCATGCAGGGGAGATCGTCGTGTATGAGTGAAGCTGCATGAACCTGTAATCATCGAATATGGATTGTTGTATGACTATGCCACCAGGGATCAAATAATTTCTAAGAACAGTGGGATTTGACATACTCTGAGACAGAAAGGAAGTTTCTCTCAAAAATCAGCCAATGTCTCACTCAAATATTAATGCTGGCTGGAGTCCTAATCAGTTGATAAGATCCAACCCTTAGACTGCAACCATTTAACAGGCAAACACATCTTTATCAATTCTGCCCAAAAAACTAATGCTCCAGTGACTACTAAACTAAACTACATTACTTGCCGTGGAGTCCCCAACTCAGACTTCTTTGCCTTGTAAGGTTTCGCCTCAGCTTTTGGAGGATTAAGACTTCACTCGACTAATTAACTAGTCAGCCTGAAATCGCAAGACGGAAAATCATAATCTAATTGATGCTGCCCAGATCCTCTGCTTCTCTATATGCAGAATTCGGCTAACACAACCATTCATACTCTCAGGCAACACTCCATCTCCATCAAAACAATCCAGCTAACTTTTCCAAGAAGCTAAAACTCTAACCGAAACCTAGTACTTGCATTTAAGCCGAAAACTTCCCACCCACCAAAGTGACCTCGACCACACAGAACCAAAAGCGCGGGCTCAACCCATATATAATCCCACAATCCATCATTCCTAGATCCAGAACTCATCAGCAATCCCCAACACAACATGGACAATCACAAGGGCAGCTAAAATCCAGCATACTCACCATCTCAAGAGCACAGGCGGTGGGGAACGCGGCGAGGCGGTCGCCGCCGAAGAGCTCGCAGGCCGTGACGCACATCACGGGCGGCGCGCGCTTGGCACCCTCTGCCAGGACGGAGTACCTCATGGCCTCGTAGATCCGCGCCGGGTACTGGACCGGGATCGCCTCGTCCAGCTTCTGGTTGATCTCCGCGATCAGGGTCGCCCAGTACGTCCTCAGATCGAACGGCTTCGGCTTCGGCGACTGCGTCGGGACGGCGGCGGACGCGAAGCAGCGGATTGGCATCGTGGGTCTGACGCCGAGGGGCTTCCTCGCGAGGTGGAGGGCGGGTGACGGCGGCAGCATCAACGAAAACGCCATGGCAGAGAGCTTCTGTGATTGCTCTCTTGTTCTTGATTCTTGTTTCTTGTTCTTGAATCTTGTTTCTTGGTTCTTGTTCTTGAATCTTGTCAACGATGGTGGGTGGAGGAAGAAAAGATGAGATTGTGGAGGGAGAGGTGTCGCGTCGCAGACGGTGGTGTGTGCGTGGAAAGTGGGAAATGGTGGTGTGGGCGATTATCCATTCAATCATTTCCTTTGACGAGCGATGGCAGGCAGGACACGCCACGGAGGAATTGAAAACATGTTTCGCGGGGGACTATGTTATCATTTGGAGTTTCAACATCGACAAGATTTTAAGACAACCGAAAAAAAAAAAGAAAAAAGATATGTGCCGTGGAAATTCTTGAACTTGTTGAGAAAGTACAGTTGAGTTCTAAAACTTGTAGAAAGTGCAATCAAATCCTAAAAATTGTCATATCGGTTCAATCGACTCGTTCGGTTAATTTCGTCCAATTTGGCTAACGAAAAATGCTAATATAGCTTCTTCTTCTTCTTTTTAAGTTTCTCTATCCTACATGGCAATAACTAGGGGCGATCGGTTCTCGGACTGAGAGAATCGGTTCCTAATTTTGGAAACCAGGGACCGGACTGATTGGTCTTAGGATCGAGAACCAGTCACATTTTGAAACTAGAATTGTGTTACCTACGCCAACTACAAATAATGACAAAATCAAACATGCAATTCGAGCTAATGCGATGACAAATTGTGTTCTCTATGCCGACTACACATGCTCTAAATTTGGAATTGCACTCCCCATGCCGACTACATACAATCACAAAAAAAGTATATGTTGTCAGTCTGGTCCTGTCGGTCCGGTTCCTCTTGGAATCGAGAACTGAGAACCGGATCGCCAGGACACCGATTCTACTTTTAGGAATTGGACCGACACTCCCGGGAACCGGAACTAACCGGCCGGTCCGGTTCGGTCCGAGCAATTTCCAGTGTAGGCGGTCCGTTTTGCACATCCCTAGCGATGACGTGACTAAAACGATGTCATTTTAATTCAAATCTAATTTTTAATATAAATTTTATTTAAATTCAATTTTAAAAAAAAGGAGGGAGAAACTAGTGGGGGGTGCAGCCCTCCTTGCCCCGCCCCTCCCTTGCCGGGAAGGGTGGGGGATGGCTGGCGAGCTCGCCCGACCCTAGCCATGTCTAGACAAGGGCCTACAGGCCCTTGCGTGAGGTCGGTGAGGGTCACCGGCTCCTACCCGAGGCCCGGTGACCCTCGCCCGCTTGGTTAGTCCCCTTTTTGTTTTTATTTTTAAAATTTTATTTAAATAAAATTTGAATTAAAAATCAAGTTTGGCCAAAACGATGTTGTTTTAGTCACGTCATCGCCACGCATGATAAAAAAAATTAATAAAAATTACGTTTGCATTTTTCGTTAGTCAAATTGGACGGAGTTGATAGAATGATTTGATTGAACCAATTTGACAAGTTTTAAGACTTAATATAAGTTTTATGAATCAATTGTATTTTCATGATAAGTTTTAAGACTTTTAGTGCACATATCCCAAAAAAGGATAACTACGAAGATCATTTGGAGAATCCAAAGTTAACAGGCTTATTAAGGATACAAATAACACCCAAGTACGATAAACAATAACACAACCGATTTATTTCTGCAGATTATATTTTCAAGGAAACGCCTCGATAATGGATTGAATGGCGCGGACGGGCTTGATAGTGTACTTAGCGAACCCGGCATCGCGAAGCACGTGAGCCCAGTCCTTCTCGGTCCTCTCTTTGCCCCCGCTAGTGTGAGCCATCATCACCATGTCGAGGGCCAGCCTCGCACCGGTCAACTTGCCGTCTTCCTCTTCGCCGATCACGGCTTCGGCGATTATCACCTTCCCCGATTTGCTCTCCGAGATGGCTTCTCTGCAGTTCTTCAGGATTTGAACGCACTCGCTGTCCGACCAGTCGTGGAGAACCCACTATACATGTTCAGAACATTCTGGCCTCTGTCAATAACACTTAGAAAGCAGCAGACCACAGAAGCCGACGACATGCATGTGTGTTCGGGGATTATCTTGGAATTAAGAGGACTAGAATCACGGAGGGATAAAAGAAAAAAAAAAAAGGGGTCACATTTTCCTCCAAAGTGAAAGGAAATTTTCCCGAGGTAATGACACAAATGGTCCTTGAATTTTAGTCCAATATGCAATATCGTCCATAAACTTTTAATTTGTTTAATGTGGTCCTTGAACTTTAACCCAATGTGTAATGTCGTCCCTGAACTTTTGATTTGTTCAATGTGGTCCATCAACTTTTATCCAATGTGCAATATTATCTCTAAACTTTTAATGTGTTTAATATGGTCCCTGAACTTTTGGTAAATGTCCAATCTAGTCCCTAAACTAGATGAAAATGTCCAATGTTATCATTTCGTAATTCAAGTTCAACGATAATGTCGAACATTTTCATATAGTTTAGGGACTAAATTGAGCCTGTACCAAAGTTAAGGGACTACATTGAATAAATTAAAAGTTCATGGACGACATTGCACATTGAATTAAAGTTTAAGGACCACATTGAACAAATTAAAAAAACAAGGACGACATTATATATTGGGTCAAAGTTGAGGGACCATTTGTATAATTTTCCATTTCCCCTAACATACCTGGTAGATTATAAATACATATGTTACCCACTTTTATATTAAATTAACTTTACATGTGGATGATATTCACAATTCATAACTCATCAATCAGAGGCAGGGTTGGAAGAAATTTTTTCCATTTAGCGACGAAGAAAAATATAGTTCGCACGAAAGGTAGAGATATAAAGGCATGCATATAAAAGAGTGCCCAGACAGATTGTTATGTATTTAAAGATGATCCATTTGTACAAACCTCGATTAATAGCGGCGATTTCATATAAATTTAATTCTGTAAATCAATCACACAACTATTTCTCACAATAGAAGATTACACGTTGTCAATGCACGATTTTTGTTTGATGATATGATCAGCGGTTGAATTGGGCGATATAATTGTTGATGAAAATATATTTCATGTTTAAAAAGCCAACCAATCATCACTAACATAATAAAAGACACCTTTAAAAGTATGTATTATGTATATGGTTAATACTACGAAGAACCCCAAACTGAGCTATGACAAATTTACTTCAAACTAATTTTTGGTCACCAAAAATCTCACATTAGTATGCTTACAACAAATTTACCCCAAACTAATATGAATTTTCACGTGAACTTGCCATGTCAATTGAGTTATTGTCAGGTGTCATCCATATCAATAATTTGATGGTGAAATGTGATAGAAGCTAACGGAGGGTAAATATGCCACTAATGTACTAGTTTTGGGTTTTTGTGACCCAAAAATTAGTTTGGGATATATTTGTCACGGGTATACCAGTATGGGGTTTTCATGGTATTAACCATTGTGTTTGATAGATTGGAGCTAGGGGTGTGCATGGTCCGGGTGGGCGGTTCCCACCCCGGAACCGTGGACTGCCCGCTACAGGACCGGTTCCAAAAATTGGAATCGAGAACCGCCCGTCGGTTCCATGGACCCGCCCGAGAACCGGACCGCCGGTCCGGTCCGGTTCTTGGGCGGGTCCATGGAACCGGTCTCAACAAGTTTTCCTAGACAAATAAAAAAAAATCTATGGACCAACATCGGATCAACAGAACAAAAGGAAAAGAACATAATTTTTCATACAATTCCTACACTATAATCGATTATATTAACCACATCATCCATAAATCAAGTGGGTACCCATTAATTATTGGAAAAAATGACCAAGGTATCCCAACTACACAAGAGCTTAAGACATGATAATAAATTTTCTTCTTTTTTTTAATTTTTTTTGGTCAGATTTTTTTAATTAAAAATTAAAAAAATAAAATATATTATTATTATATTACCGGTCCGGTCCGGGTGGGCGGGTGGGCGGTTCCACACCAGAAACCGGGAACTGGCCCAAACAGTACCAGTTCCAAAAAATTGGAACTGGGAACCGGACCGGTTCCCTTGGGAACCACCGGTTCCAGTCCGGTTCCGGGCGGTCCGGGCGGGTCCCGGTTCTTTTGCACACCCCTAATTGGAGCTGTTGCTATGAGTGAAAATGAAGATGGGAGAATTCAGACCAGCCTGAAATTCCTTAGCTCGAGTAGTTTGAGTCGGATATCGAGCTCACTCTATTATATATTTTAGGCTGGTATGAGTTTTCGGTTTTCATTTTGTGAAGCTCGAAATGGCCTAGCCAGATGTGAAATTATATTTATAATATAGTATTTTTATAATTCTTGCTATATATAGATGAAGTTTTCTATCTTGGATGAGAAAAATGAAATACTACAAGTGAACCAATTATTTTCTTATTCTATTGAAATAATGAAATTTACGAGGGAACAAATTATTTTATTTAATATTGACAAATTGATATATAAATTCAGGCCTAGCCTGGCCCAAATCGAACAAGCCCAAAATATTTGGGCCTGAAATTTTTTTAGGAGGGCTAAGTTTGCCGTGAAAGCCCGGCCCATCATCGGTAATCAGATATACAAAGAGTAATTTTGTGAGCCTTAACTAAAGAAAATGTGGAATTTTTACAGCCTACTTGTTCTATTACCCACATTCAAATGTATAATATCATGCTATAAATCCTTGAATGAAGTGGCCTTTTGGCATGTTTGGTGTGTACTTCATGACCCGCAATTTCCCACCGAGCAATTAACACTAACTTAAGCATGACCACAGCAGAATTTATCTAGATATTAAGTCTAACATATTAATTTTAGTTTTGAAAAAATTAGACAAATCTGGGTCCTCCTAAAAACACTACTTAATGAAAAAAGTCTTATAGAAATTTCCTAACAAGGAAAAAATCGATGCTACTTGGTTTTACCATGATAAGACAAATTCCCACTTGGTATATACTCGAGTGAGTTAAATTCAAATACTCAATTTCAATCTTCCATGTTGCTTTATAAATCAATCTTATGGACTATTCTAAGTATGTCTAATTCTATCTTGAAGTATGAAAGCGTGCCAAAACGTGATTAGCAGAGTATGAAAACAATATTAATGAGCGATTTACACATTGGGTGTACGAATTGATGAGATGGATTATAAATGGGTGTTAAGCATGATCAGCTTTGGTTAAATATACACTTATTGTCATTATATTACTTAATAGGGTCAAGTGCAGATTTAATCCTATAATGTTTCGGGATTTTTGGAATTGATCCCCTGACTTTTATTTTGTGCAATTAAGTCCTCTTTCTTTTACGATTTGCACAATTTGATCCTCTTAAGTTTTATTTTGTATAATCAAATTCTCTAACCTTTTTGTTGTGCAGTTAGTGTTACTTTTAGCCCATGTAACTTGCACAGTCAAGTTAGGATTTCTTTTTTCTTCTCGTTTCCCCCCTTGTTTTCTTCTAATTTGGCGCCACATTAGCATATCTTTCTTCTTCTTTTTTTCTACCACATCAGGTTGCTATGTAATTAATTATTTGGACGGTTAGTGGTCGACCGAAGGATGTCAAACGCACTTATCGAGAATGTTAGAGGGCTTAATCGCGCAAAATATAATTTAGGAGGACCATACTGCATAAATTCAAAAAGTTTCAGTACTTAATCGAATAAAATAGAAGTTAGACTACACGAGCAAATCGCACAAATAATAAAACATAGATAGCTAAAATTGTACTCTTGTTTTTTTTTGGTCAAAGATGCTGAAACTGTACTTTTTTTTGGTCAAAGATGCTAAAACTGTACTTAGCCCAGTTAGTTTGTGGATGAATTTTGGACGTACGTACCATGAGGAAAGCAGCATCAGCCTTTGGAACGCCCTGGAACATATCTCCTCCGACGTCCACCACCCCCTCGCACGGCGGCAGCGCCCCGGCGACGACGTGCGGCAGGTCGAAATTAATCCCTCTGATCCACGGAAATGCCTTCCTCAGCAACCTCAGGGCAGTCCCGTTCCCTCCTCCGACGTCCACCACGGTTAGGACCCCCTCGAACACCTCCGGGCAATCCTCGGCGAGCGCTGGCACCGCCGCTCTCGCGTGGCACGCCATGGCATCGTCGATGAGCCTGCTGTGCCCGGGATTTGCCACCGAGTATGCCCAGACGTCGTCGCCGTGCGCCGTCACGAAGGGCGGAGGAGCTCCGGCGGATGCCCCAGCCACGTGAGAGCTCAGGTTGAGCCACGGGGCGAGCATCACGGGAGTGCTCTCGAGCAGAATGAAAGCGGCCATCGAGTTCTCTCCTCTGGTCAGGAGACGGCGAGAGAGCGGGGTCTGTGAGTAGGCGTCAGCGTCGGCGTGGTGCCTGAAGATCTTGCGGTGGACGAGGAAGCGGAGGATGCGACGGAGGGAGGAGGGGCAGCAGCCGAGCTCGGAGGAGAGCTGGGAGAGAGAGATGGAGGGCTCCGGGTGGCTCGCCATGGCATCGGCAATGCCGAGATCGATGGCACACTTCACCACCGCCATCTCAGTGAAGCCGAAGACGTACTTCCATATGTCCACCCCGGCTTTTGCTTCTTCATCGTCCTCGTAGCTAACGACTTGCGCCGTTGGCTTTGGTTCTGCTGCTGGTTTTTCGAGCGCCATTCTCTCTCTCTCTCTCAGTTTTGATAAACGAAGCTTGCAGATGGAAGCATGTGTGTCACATCCCGAAACCTACCGAGATGGGGATAATATGGCCGAAGGACGCAACCTCAAACTAAAAGTCAAGAGCCAATTTCCAAAAGTCCTCGTCGATGGTGCTCTCGCTCTATAGTCACTAACCGAGAAACCTGAAAAGGTTGGGGAAAGAGAGGAGTGAACAACCACAGCTCAGTGAATAATACATCCCTTCAAAGAATATCGAACCTCCACAATACACGTTTAAAACTCAAGGACATAACCCACTTATATCAATTCAAAATATAACAAACTTACAAGAATAAAATGAGTTATATAGCACTTCCACATAAATATATTCATAGCATAAATACCTATTCAGCCATAATATCAAAACCAGTATTATTGGTCCAATTCAATACAAATTCATCAAATATATGTCAATGGTCCATTCCAGGCTCAATATTCAACTCAAGGCTCTAGAGATGGCTCTCACAAATTTACGTTATCGTGTAGCACGTAGTTCTTGATCAACGTATATTAACAGTACAAGGCCCTAGAGGTGGCTCTCAAGAATTTACGTTATCGTGTAGCACTTAGTCCTTTACTGTGCATATCAATAATGCAAGGTCCTAGAGGTAGCTCCCACGAAATTACGTTATCGTGTAGCACTTAGCCCTTTTTACCAATCCATATTACAAATGGTTTCACAAACCAAAATATGTAACTCTTTAAGAGTTATCTCATAAATCTAATGCACAAAATAGTAAGCATAACCTTTCAGGAAAGGTTTATCGAACCATCCCACCATAATCCAAAATTAGTAAACATTCGATCCAGCTTTATGAAGCAAATATGTTCTTCTTACTTCTATATATATATACGTACCTTAGTACATGGTCTGACAAAACCAAAGAAGATATCAGCACCACTTACCTGGGAATGCCCCAAAACTATACAACGTGGCTAACCTTGTCGACAGTATCGTAATCTTTTCAATTAAATGATAATCGACATCAAAACCAAGTAAAATACTATTTTAACTAACGACTTGACTAATCCAAGCTTAAACACTCACAAATCGCTTGTCTAAAGCAATATTCAAAGCCGTTCACAACACGAAACTTGAACGCAAGACTCATAAATCTCTCACTCGAACCCCGTTCTAAGCGATCTTGCGGTCAAAATGAAGATCTTCCGAAGCACTAGAAGACCAACAACTTGGCCGACCCAAAATCGAGCCGAAAACCGACGAAAATTGGCCTAAAAGCCTCTGGTCGCGCACTGCTCACCATGCACGCTCAACTTCAAAATTTTGTTTTGGGTGAACCGTATGTCCAAATTGAGATCCGTAAAATCCTATGGCCCTACAACACCCCAAACTAGCATTTATATATATATATATATATATATACGCAGCTCGACAACTCAAAAATCGGACTTCACGGCTCGAATCTCACGTAACTCCGAAATTTGAGCCCTAAACAGGAAAACTTCTTTGATTGGATGAACGAGGAATGCAAGTACTTATCGGGCGTTGCGAGAAGAAGTAACTGAGGCTCCCGTGACGAGTCGTGACGAGAACGTGCAAAACCCTGCCTCTTCTTCCTTCTCTTTTCCTCTCTTTCTTTCTTTTCCTTTTCTCCTCGTCGGCCGTGCACACTCTCGGCTTAAATCAGCTAAAGCTTCAACTGTTCTGCTTTTTAACTTTTCAACTCCTCCTTTTTTTTCTTTTTTTTTTCCACCTTTGACCTTTTGACCTTGAAACACAAATATTACAATATGTGTGCACGAATTATAAAAATCCATGTTTGATGCTTGTGCAGTGATTATTATCCATTATAGTTATGGTTTTGGCAATTCAGTGAGAGTCTCATTATTTCTCAAAAAAATTAATTTTATATCATTAATTTGACTCGATCCAACATGTTTGTAAAGATGACTATATAATATTACACGAAGTAATTATGTAGATTGAGATGCTCTATAGTTATAAGATAACTATGATCGAATTAATCATGCTTAAAAAATCCACATAAAATACTAAAATTCCTCTCTCTCTATCTCTTTATTTGTTGTGTATGGGCGTGCGCATGTGCAAGTGTTTCTGGGAGAGAGATTTAGCTAGAAAACCCTCACAAATTTTATGCGGGTAGAGTTCCACGACCTCTGATTTAAGGCGGCGGACCTTCAAGTCGACGGAGATGAAGGTCCATGATTAGAGGTCATTGGCCTCCATCATCCTTCATCGAGAGGATGGAGGCCGCGGCCGTCGACAGCCTCGGCTTGAGGTCGTCACTCTTCCCCGGCAAAACCGAGAAATATTGTGTGATTTCTGTATACATGGTACGATCAGACGGAATCAATGTCAACATAGAGAATTTTTCAGAATGGTTTTTTTTTGCCATATGACCGGGTGTTGCCCAATTTTTTTTTTTTGTGTGAATATGATTGATTTGATTGGGTAGTAGGTGTCTATGATAATGGCTCAGTAATGCTACATGTATTGAGTTTTTGCATAGTGATTTTGCGATTCGTTCACAGTTAGGGGGTAACTACAGATGAATTGATGAAAAAGCTCCCATATGAAAATTCACAAAAATCCTAAACTCTCTCTCTCTCTCTCTCTCTCTCTCTCTCTCTCTCTCTCTCTCTCTCTCTCTCTCTCTCTCTTTCTCATATACTGCCTTCGCCTTCGCCGCCTGTCGCTTCACCGCCGCTCGCGCTCGATGCCGCTCATCATTGGTTGCCCTCCATTGTCATCTTCACTTGCACCCCGCTGTCGCTGCCCGTCATGAGCTCACCGGTGAAGATCGCGACTCTCTCTCTCTCTCTCTCTCTCTCTCTCTCTCTCTCTCTCTCTCTCTCTCTCTCTCTCTCTCTCTCTCTCATTTTGCCTTGGCTTCCATTGCACGTTGCTTTGCAGCCCTGCCATACCACTCGACTATGGTTGCTCTCCATTGTCATCCTCGCTCACGACCCCGCCATTGTTGCCCAATGCGAGATCCTCGAGGACCTCCATCAGAGACCTCAACGAGGCCAGCGATGGTTATCGACAAGAGACTCCATCGATCTCAAAAGTGTGTGTATGTGAGGATAGCAAGACAGAGGTAATCAATCGAACATTGATTAATATGTAATTGATCAAAGACTAGATTTTATTCTACTAGAATAGAAATCTATAATTCTACTAGAATAGAAATCTATACCAACAAACAAATATTGAGGTATGTTCTAAATTGATTTCGATTGGGGCAGCGACAGCACTTGAAATGGTGGCAACGGCACCAGTGGTTTTAAAATTTGGACTGTGGAATAATAACTTTGACATCGGTCAAGTCAAGCTCAGTCGGTCCAATCAAAGGCAAATCATTTACACCTAAATCTTGAGTTCTATTTCGCAACGATGCACACGACATGCAAATTTTTGTACCAAGTTCACGTAATAATCTTGTCCGCAGAGCCCACAAGCTCATCATAATGTAGTCGAAGGTGCATGGAGCCTCACAGGTCATACATATACTATAATAGGGGCCCTGCAAATTTCTTCTACTTATCCTTGCTAGCATTGTTTCTGATAAATTTTAGATCTGTCCGAAGTAGAATATCAACTGCCCTATGAAAAAGCCGATTGATGCAACCGCGTTGTCCAGCCTAAAAATTATTTTTTTTTTTCGTGTTTTTTCATTGACAAATTCGTTTGTAATAGTGCTTACGATGGCACGAATCTGAAATCCTAGAGCAAACTAATCGACTCGATTGGGTACCCAGTTCGGTACTTTTAGCTTATTTTCCCTGGTTCAACCGCGTAATATTAAAATATCCGGTTCAATATTTGATACGGTTTACCTATTATTTAACACTCTTAAAAGTTTCTGATGTTAGAGAGACTGTATTTACTATATCCATATCTCCAAACACGAGCATGAAAATGGTTCTTTTGCAGGTAAATTTCATGATATATCAAGGAGATTTTCATTTACACCCTACCACAAATTTTTGTCGGACAAGTACAACTGCGCATGGTTGGATAGATTAGATGGACAATCATGAAGAGTTGATTGCACACTGCAGTGTCTGCAATATCAAGAGCTGTCGTCTTTCAATCATTTTGACTTCTTCCTATCCCCCTTGGGTTTAACTTTTGGGACACACTCCACAAGAAAACAACAGTTGTATTAAGGCTTTCACTGGCTCTCTCTCTCTCTCTCTCTCTCTCTCTCTCCATCTTCATGCCATAGCAATTTGACAAAAAAAGAAACAATTTTTCGTACCAAACTTACCATTTTTTAGCGCACTTGGTTGGACAAGATTCTGGTGATAGAGATACGGACGAGCTTGCGTTGCATTGAGAGACATCAGATTCGGCATGTTCCACGACGATATTTCCCGGTCAAGATCGGTCAGCTAATACCGACCTCGGTTTTTGCACGTTCGAGTGAGCTGGTATCTTTCTTCTTGATGATCCACTCAACAATGTCACGGATTCTGCAACTTGGAGTGAAGCAAATTGGAGCCAACCGCTCAAACGAGCTGAGAAGATCAGGTCGCCAGGTGGGGGAACATCGAAATCGAATGATCGCAAGTTTGGGACGTACTGCTTTTGCTTATCGTCCCGGGGTTAATATCAAAGAAAGTTTTAAGATACCACGTCAAGGATAATGCATTGATATAATGTCAGGCATGCATCGGCAAAAAGATGATCTCGGATAAGGTTAACGCTGTGGTGATGTTGGACCAGTGCAAATTGAGGACTCACCTGAAGAGTATTTGTTAACTTTTGTAAGGGAAAATGATATAAATAGTTCATGAATTTTGACCCAATGTGTAATGTGGTCCATGAACTTTGAATTTGTTCAATATGGTCCATGAATTTTAGCTTAATGCGCAATATGATCCTTGAACTTTTAATTTATCTAATATAATTCTTGCACTTTTGAAACATATTCAATTTAGTATCCAGACTATATGAAAATATTCAATATTGTCCTAAATGACACCGCTTTTTGCTCACTCAGTCAAAAACTAAAATGTCATCGCATTGGCTCAAATTGAGGCAAAATCAAAGGTTTCGATTAGAATCGAAGTACATCTGCTAGCCAAGCGTTGCATCCTATGCAGGATAATTGACAGCCAATTTGAACATAATGCTAATGGAGAGATAAGCTTCAGGATAGCGCCACCACTTTGGAGGTTTTGTACGGTCGAAAAGTAGTTTGAGGGGAAATCGTCCAATTGGTACCACTTCAGATTGCTTAAAGTTACTGCATCAAGAAAATATAATGATACGATGTCATGGAACATGATCTTGGAGTCTTAAATCGTGGAGATGCAGTTGTAATTTCTAATTCGAATATTAATTGCTTAGGAGCGGTTAAATTTTGTAATAGGCTCTATAAACCATGTTGAATCCTTGTAGAAAAGGATTTACAATTATCAACACAAATTATGTATCTTTCGGTCTATCAAATTTATCTTTCGAGTTCCTGCATTTACTTTCCATTAAAGTAATTAGTTCTAAATCTTCTTTATGCATTCTGTTTTTTGTCTGAATTACCACCAAACCTGATTCAATAAAAATCAAAGATCAACCTTCAGGGAAAGCTATTTCGTCGCGTGGAGCCATTCCCGGTGAAATATGGTGTAATCATTCTCCAAAACACTTACAGTTTTTCGAATCAAATCACACAATGTCCAACCTAATGGCAATGTTCCAAGAATGATTGTGCACTTCAACATGCTCTAAAAGTCTGGGAATTTTTGTGAATTCCATTTTTCTAATTTTTCTTGATAAGTAAATACCTCGAATCATCAAGAAAATTACCAAAACAGTCATAAACCTATTGTAGTTGTACCAATTCAGTCCTAAACCTTTTTTTTTGTCCAATTCAGTCCTAAACCTTTTTGTAATTGTGTCATTTCAGACCATCCGGCTAATTTTGGCCTGCCGACACTGACGTGGACGCTGGCCGACGCTAACGTGGTAAATTTTAAATATTTTTTTTTCTTCCTTTTTATACCCCATCTCTTTCGTTTTTTTTTCTTTCCTTTTTTCCTTGGCCAGGGGCTAGTGCTGGCGATGTCGACCTTGCCGTTGCCGGCGAGGCTTACAGCGAGGGCAAGCCTCGCTGGCCTTGGCCTTTGGTCGGTTGGGCGACCATCTAGGGGAAGAAGGAAAGAAAAAAGAAAAGGAAAGAGTAAGGAAAAAAATATTTAAAAAATTGCCACGTCAGCGTTGGCAGACATCTACGTCAACGCCGACCGGCCAAAATTAGCCGAATGGATTGAAACGGCACAATTGCAAAAAGTTTATGACTGAATTAACCAATAAAAAAAGATTTATGATTGAATTGGCATGATTACAATAAATCTAGGACTGCTTTGATAATTGTCCCCTCAAAACTGGAGTCTCAGGTAGTGTCTGTGAGAATGCTTTACAAAGCATCATCGAACCTCCTGGAGTCCATTAGGTGAAAGTTATGGTATATGGTAAAAAAAAATTGAACTTCAGGTCACAGTTTACCTTGGTATAACCCAAAGCATTTGCCCCTTTGCTTTGGACTTTGGGCAAATTGAGGGGTTTAACAAATTTGTCATTAGACTATCAAATCACCAGTAGTAAATACCTTGAATCCTCAAAACTCAGCTAGTAGTAATTTCCCTCCAAATTTCATCAACATTATGCCGATTACGTCAAGCTGATGTTTAAATCCAAAACTGAGGAAGCAGTGAACATTTTTCAAAGTGGTAAAAAGAAGAAAAAAAAATGAATAAAACTTTCATTTGCCATTACTATTTTTCTCATTCCCATTTGACCAAAAATTACAGGGACGACAAGCTCTTCTGGTCCCTCCCAGTCCCAACTCCGAAAGCTCAAAAAGGTGTGAAAAACCATACATGTACACTGTACAGAGAGTATAATTAGGTCAAGTCACCTCTGGAGTTGGGGAAACTTTGAACTTTAGCTTTTCCACTTCAGCCAAGGGGGAGGGATTTCCTTCACAAACCTCTTCGAGTGCTTCGAGCCACCGGTGGACAGTGCTTGATTCGAATGCACCCTCCAGAGAGTATGATTAGGTCAAGTCACCTCTCAAGTTGGCGAAACTTGGATCTTAGCTTTTCCACTTCAGCCAAGAGAGACGTGTTTCCTTCACAAGCCGCTTTGAGTACTTCGAGCCTCCCATGGACGGTGCTTGCTTGCGATGCACCCTCATCTTGTGCAGTCATTTTGGATGGCGATGACTTATTGTACCGGATGAGATCCATCATCATTCCCTGCGGTAACGAATCCCATTGACAAGTCAAATTCATACTAAAAATTTCACTAGAACGATTACTTACATGCCTCTTCCTAAACAGAGAGATACTCGTAAAATTATAACCGTGATCTACTTTGCATACAAACAGTCGTTGCAGAAAAGGTATCTCCTGAACCCCACCATCCCCTCCCTCATAATTTTATCTAGAAAAAAACAGATAGTGAGTGTTTGATCTCTTTGCACAATTTCAACCTTTAACAATGGTGGCCCTAAATGATAACTGTCATATGAGTCGTACATAGTCATCCAGCAGAAAGAGGTCAACAAAAAATTGCCCTCTCCTCACACAAGAAAAGTAAGGCTAACCAGTAGACTGAACAAAGTAGTCAATAGTCACATCCACTTTTTACAAGATTTTGCTTAACATTCAACTGCTCTACAGAATTGCATACCTCATGTTGTTGCTTCCTGGAGCAATCTCGCAACAGGGACTTCACTAACTTATTTCGCAGCAAAACAAGATCTTTTCCATGATCAAGGAAAATGAATGATGAGATGTGGTGCAAGACAAGCGTTAATGCTAGTGATCCTCTAGCAGCAGCTCTTTCCAGTGCTCCAGAAACCCATGACTTTACATATGCTTCTAAGATGTGTTCATCATCCTGCGAATAAAGATATAAAACTCATCAAGGACCTCAATACAAGCCTGTGAGCATTTACACAATACCCTCAGATGAAGTTATTCCACAGAGAATGGTGTAATATGAATGGCACAGCAGCTTCTGTAATTTGAGAACTTCAGAAGTTTAAAAAAAAAAAAAAGCGTTTACCCATTGACGATATGTACCCTACATCTAGAGTTCATCATAAATCTAACGAGTCAAAAAACTGTATGTTTTTTTGGTCTGCCCAAAAAAAAAAGAATAGAGAAAAGCAAGTCACAACTGCATAGAATAAGATTCAGTTCAACAAGAGAAGTACTTGTGATGGCCAGCAGCCACTTTAGAACTGAATGGTTTGAAAGTCCAACAAAAACCCTGAAGCAATTAGGTGAAGGGAGACAGCATATAATAAGGCCCATTAGATTCCCATATTTAAGATCCCCTCTCACATGTGAACCGGAATGGAGAATGGCAAGACAACTATCTTGCACATGAAGTAGAAACCAAAACATGTAGAATACAAGACAATTTTTCTTGCTCCTAGAATGAGTGAACAGGGAATGAGATAAATAAATAAATACACACTCGAATTGACGTATTAAATGAGACATGAAGGATCAAAAGTAGGTAGAAAGTTCAACCCAAAAATTTAAGCTTACAGATGGAGGAGACTATACATATATAAGACCCACTAACCCCATTTTGAGCAATATGGGCAAAACATATACTTTAAGAAAAACAAACCATTACCATAGTTAAACTGCTTGAACATGTTCATGATGTTCGACCTAACAACAGAAGAAGAAAAGAACAAATATGTTCATGAATAATACCTCAGGAGGTTCAAGATAACCTTCAGCATTTGCTAGGCACTTATCCAAAGGAGGCAGAAGATCAAGAACCCGAGAATTAGACAGTGCATTCCATGCAGCGAGTCTTACAGAAACTTCCACATGGCGGTGAAGGTACATCGCGACTTGACGACCATACAGCAGATCACCATAGGATACTGCAGCAAATTGCTCCACAAGAGTTTCAATAAACGTTGAGTAACTATCATGAATTTCTGATCCAAAACTTAACAATTCCCATTTATTTGCGCTTTCCATTTCAGGCTTGTCTTTCAGAGAATGTCTAACACTTCTACTTAATATTTGTCGATCAAGAAACTGTCCAAAGAGTTCTTGTAAAGCTTCATAAACATCCCTACTTCTCTGCTCTTCAAGCACAGCCAACCCAACAAGTAAGATCATAGACAAGGAATGGAATTTCCAAACTAGTGACACATGTTGAGCAGGAGAAGTGATATCTGAGCATCCCGAACAAGACATTGCCTCTAGGCCTAATAGAAAGAACATTCCAGCTTTAGCAACTTCAGATAGATCATCATGATCCTGAACAGGATTAATGGCACCAGAAACTTTCTGATCTGTACTCTGCTTGCCATCCCCTAATGAACTCATTGGGCTGATGAACCAATGCATGGGAAGTGGCAGTCTCTGGTAAGCCCACTCCATAGTCAAATTAGTACAAGGCATATGTTCTGCTTTCTCATCTGACATGTCCATATCCTCATGAATGGTTTCAAGAGATATACTACCGCTTTTATTTGCTTTATGCATGGTAGTCTTACCGTCCTCTATGGATCTTGCCTTTTTCTTTGCACACAACCATCTTTTTCTGAAATGAGAAGATAATAATTTGCTAAAATGATGTAGGTCCTCTTCACTATACTCCCACATCAGAGACCTCCTGCTAAGAGAAAAAAAGTGCTGAATAGAGGTATTCAAGCACATTAGAACAGGGACTCGGAACAAAAAGTCAAATGCCTTCTCTACAACTACCCCATCCCTTGGCCCAGCAGTCAAACAAGTTCCTAAGGCACCATTAACTCTTTGCAAAACAATGGCTTGGCCCTCACTAAAGGCTACATGATCAACTGACGACAGTGGAACATTTCCAAGCAAGTATACGAGAAGACCTGCATCCTTTTGTGCCAAAAGGACCCGTCTTGACCAATATCCTCCATGAGAAGCACCCCACCCAACCCCAACTCCTGGAGCAAGACCTCCTCTCCCAAACGTCTCTATGGATTGGATTGACTGCCATTCAGAAGCAATTTTGTTCGAAAGGATGTCAAGCACCTTCTGCAGATCAACAAGAGAACCATTGAGCATACCATCCTCAAGAATTGTCTCTTCTGCTGACACGGAGAGTCCTCTTGTTGGAGGACTAGGCATTCCAGCCTTGGCTAACTGGATCAAGCAATCAATCTCAACCATCAACTGCACAAATCCATGGAGACAGCAAACAGAAGCCAAAGAGGTCTCACTTTCATTTTGAAGTCTCAAATGAGACAACTTTTTGATGAAGGAACCAACTCTTTCAGAATCTGTTCCATTTTCTATGCTGTCATTCAAAGAGCTAAATAACCCTTGCCGAATAATCTCTAAACCAACTTTTGGGACAAACTCGGGAAGCCAAGGCAGTAATTTGCCATCATTGGAGTTAATGATTGTTTTGTCTGGCCCCACTCTTTCAAGAACAACAGATAGCATGTGCATGACAGAAGAATAAACCCACAATAAGGATGTCAGAGATCGACTTCTCAGGTCATTTTTCATACCACTTTGCGACTCAAAGAACTGAGAGATGCAAGAATCATTCATCCATTCTATCCACTTTATTCCAAGATCAACCATTGGGGTAACGTGACTCCAAGACCATGATTCAGTGTTATTTCCAGTGCACTCTGTATTTTGATTGCCCGTATGCTTCTGTGAATGAAACATTGGAAGCCTACGAGCTAAAGCTGCCAGAACAAGGTATGCCTCATCAGAGATTGAAGCGACTTCTCTCGTGATATTGTTCTCCAACAGTTTCTCCATGGAAGGTGGATTCAACCACAAACACATGGAATGAAAGATATCTGAGAAGTGTGAGACACAATATCCATACTCTATGCAAGTCCTCCACAGACGCAATTGTTCAATCATCAGAGATGAGGAGAGTTTGCAGCGCTCCTTTCCCAGTTTAATCCACTGGTCAAGGGAATGTGCAGGTTGATACAACTGCCATATCATAGCGTGGAGTGTTCCACTGCTTATAAGATCAATGCAATACTTCCTATTAGATTGTGCCAAAACCTGTTCAAAAGTTAAACAGAAATGAGTTACTGGCTAAACACCAATTGTCCCGTGAAAGATTAAGACTAGTGCAAGATGTCAGATGAACTGATGACATACCCTTAGAAGTGTAACAGATTTTATCTTGGAAGGCTGAATTTCCATACTGCTTTTCATGGAAAATCTGTGGACAACTATTTGGATGAGCCTTGGACAGTCCATGATAGCACTTGAAGCAGTTAGCGAATGCCTTGCTATTGCAATTAGAATAGAGATCATCCGTTCTTCCAGAGCTTCGGCCGGATCTGTCTGAAACCATCCATTTGAAGAAACAAAATGATTTCTATACGAAGTAAACAGGCTGAAACTGACATAATAGTTAGATCATGCTACCTCCAAGATATAACGAATTCTTGGCAGAACTCCCATCCTGACGAAACCTGCAATAAAATCTTGACCAGCAACCACAATATCATCCTGAATAGTGCGCTTCCCCTCAGATTCATCATCAGGTATTTCTTCCATAGGAAGAACATTAGAAGATTTAGCACTGTACTTCCAAAACCCACCATGAAGCAAACCACCATCAATTTCTGGTTTACTCCGAAAAACTGGGGCAGTGTAGAGATACTTTCCATGCATACTCATTCTCTGAAAGAACATATATAACTTAAACTCAACCAAATGAAGCGTTATAAGAATGATAAGAATCTCTGAAGAAAATTTTACCTCCAATTTGTCAAAGAAGTTCTCGTTCAAATCAGAGCAGAGTATGCACTCAATTACCCTTGCACATGCCAAAACCACGGAATTGTGGTTGTCATCAAGACACATCCTACAAATACACATCATTAGAGTACATTTCTAACTTTTTTCAAATGGTTGCATATGATATAAAAACTTAGATATATGGAGCCTTTTGGGAGTGATAATCCTCGCTATAGAATGTATCATCCAAAGAAGCTAAAGAAAGCAGCATAAAATTAGTTAGAAGCAGCTCAGGCCATAACCAAGCAACCTTGTTACTTAGATTCCCGAAAGGTTCCCCCAAAAAGGAAAGGGATACTCAAATACTGACTAATTCCTATAAAGCCAATGTATAGACTGCCGACACTGGAAAACTGATTCAACATGTTGCGGAGTGTACCTATAACAGAACAACTATTGCTCCAGTAAAAATGTAAACAACAAAATAACAGATTAGAAGACTCTGCAATTTCCCCATAAGTGTAAGCTCTTTTTCAGGAAATACAGGAGCTCATGTCAGCAGTATGGCTCAGAATTTTTTGTATGTACGAGCATAGCACCAGAAAATTTAAATAAAAATCTTTCTAGTAATAACATGGAAGTCAAGGCCATATCCACTGCTCATTGACTAACAATATGAAGGAAGGACGATGACAAAACATATGCAATATAGATCACCTCAATGTTAAGACAAGTTCAGGTTCTGGACCGAGTGCAAATGCCCAGACAGCCTCCCAATCGACTGAATCCTCATCAACATTAGAATATCGAGTAACAAGATCAACTTGATCCCGACAAATAATGTGCATTGCCTTGTCAAGTACAGTAGCGAGAAGATGAAGTGCAAGGGCCCGTTGTCCCGGAACCTGAAGCATCAATTCATTATTTACCAAAATGCCAGTAGCGAAGAAGGTTCTTGTAACTTAGAAGCAAAGGATATGAACTTAAAAAAGAACACTAATGAGAAAGCAAAAACTATCTGATTAGCTTTGAGTCTATGTTAGCTAAGCACCGATATAAAAGGCAACTTACCACACTTCTTGTAAGTGCCACTGCTTCTTTGATAGTATAACCTGCAGCACCAGGGTCACCTTCAGTCCTCAAGAAGTCTCGCTCAGCAACACTATCAGCATTCTGCCTGTTCAGACCTGAAGAATAGTCTCAATAAGTGATATAATCACAGAAACTAGACATAACTCGAAATAATTCTTAAGCATTGAAAAATTCCTCTAATGCACACTTAGGACTCAATCATAGAGCACGCCATACTCTGATCCAATTATACGAGGGATCTAGACAAGAAAGTACATTATTGAAACATACACTTCAAAAAAATTCACCAAATGAAATCTGGGGAGCTAATCAGACCACACCCTGGTGCAGCTATCTGGGAACAGAAAAAAGTGGTTTTCGACCATAGGTTGACATAAGGGTGCGATTTAAGGTTGAAAGAGAGGGCACTTATAAAGAAAGCTCATCCTACTTGTTTTTATCAAGGAATGAAAGCTGATCCTAAATTCTATAGGCATCAATTTGAATCAAAGTTCTTATACAGGTCAAAGTCTATAGCAGCTCAAAAAATTGCAGTCTGCAGCAACATTCAGCCAAAAAGTGAATTTTTGGTACTCGAATCAGTTGCTGAAGATGCCCATGCAACATTCTTGCATAATTCCATGAAAAAGAATAGGTCAAGCTAAAGAACTTAAGCTATAGTACCTTAGGTACTATATAGAGACTCATTAGTGTGACTAGTGCATGAACTAGCTAAAGTCGTTCATCATCATCATTAAGTGACTGGTGCATTAGGGTGACCAGTGAATGTCAACCCCACTTGTAATGACTAAAAACATGTGAACTGACTGAATAACTATTTATCTTACTTCTGGAGAAGGAACCATCATCTGGACTCAAAAGGCACCAAAAGAGATGCATAGCAAGAGACACTGGCTGGAAGAGATTATATAAGCAATTTACTTACCAGTCCCCGCAACTGGGTCAATTTCACTCTGAATGACATATCCATCTAATGAAAATCTCAATTTTCGTACAGCCTCAACCCTAACAGTCCAAGCATTCCACAAACTGCCATCTCTTGGTCCAACATTCTGGACACCAGCATGATCCTGATGACTTTGGCTATCTTTTACAGTCTCTGATGATGCCAAATTAGATACTCTGTCCCTCGTATTCTGTGATTCTGCATTCTGAAGAGACTGATCCGCAACTAATGGACTACCCAATGTTGCATCTGTAGCTATCTGAGAGCCTGACAAGTTTTGCTTCTTAAATTTCTCTTGACCCCTTCTTTTTAGCAACTTAAGCAACGAAGGGTCCATCTTCTTCATTATCTCAGCCTGAGCTTCAGCAATTTCGTCAGGAGACATACTCTGTAATCTGGCGCAGTTCTCAGCATCGATTTGACTCTCGAGAGAAGAATGACTATGCCCATCATCACCGACGTTGGATCTAAACAAGGAGGCTGTAGGCAAGCTTGACGATTGGTTTTCCTTCTCTCTGGAATGATCAAGGAATGAGGAACTTAACTCTTTTGCCTCGGTCAGCATTCTTACAGATTCATTGCTTGAAACTTTCACTGCACCAGTTCCACTACTAATATGCTTAGACCCTGAATCTCTAAGTAAATAAGCAGCCTCAGCCTTCTTGTCACCATCAAGAGAACATCCCTGAACTTGAGTACCTTTACCCGTATCACTTTGCATTAATGCAGAAGTCTTACCATCTGTGATGGCCCCATCAGTTTTATACATAGGCTCAAATTTTGAGAGTGGTTTTGCATCTACTTCCATAGGAACTGCACCACTTAAAGATGTATCATCCATGAGATTTCGCTTATTTTCACTTTTGCTCACCTCTCTACTACTATTTCGCGCTTCAGCCCCTGTGGATCGATGCTTTATATTTTTACTACTGAAAGAGGAATCATTTCCTGCGGCAATCTCCCTCCAATTGTGTAAGTTCAATTCCTTCTTCTCCTTTCTTTGAACTGGTCTAGCAAAAGCTGCAATTCGCTCAGAAGCAGCAAGTCTCCTATATTCTTCAGCATCCTCATTATGATCATCACTGTCGTGATCTTCATCCCATCTCGTGCCAACTGGACCCCAATGCTGCAGATTAACATTTCATTATCAACAAAAAATTGAATACAAAGGAACGTTCCTTGTTCTATCATTTCCCCCCCAAAAAAAGGAGCCTCAAACTCAACTAATAACCAAATGCCATACTAGGAGTTTACCTTCTTCAGGCTCCCTACTCAAAACTAAAACTCCAACAATGCCTTTCCTCCTACACATTCCAACCTATTTGAAACACGTTCCAAACCTGCCCTTAAACCGATGGCTATATATATGGACCAAAAACACTAAATTCCCGACCTTAACACTCATCCATTTCCCTCACTTCACTGAATCAAGAACACTGAAGCAGGACCAATGACGTGTCCGAAGCTCCCTGTATTGCTTCCATTGCTCAATAAACCAAGAGAGCAGCAAATTTTCAAATTCCATTGCCCAGAAGAAGCATAAGCTCAGGAACTTACGGGGCCGTGAGAACGGTGTCGCGCAACCGGGAAAGGAAGGACGGTGGCCCTCGGAGGAGGGGTTGGGGCGAGGGTCTTGGTCTCGGGGACGTCGGAAACGCCCTTTTCGACTATGCTTCCGATGAGCATCGAGGCGTTGTCCTCGTTGATTTGGGGCTCGCCGGTCCCGGATATCTTGTGGCGAGGTGGGATTTTCTGTCTTCCCGACCCGCTGCTCTTTCGCTTGTCCATGGCCGCCTTCTTCAACGTCCTCCGCGCTGCTGTTCTCGAGCAACTCCGACGTCTTCTTCAAGTTCGAACCAAGCTCTGGCTGCTTCTTGCCAGAGGTGGTGGCGCCGATTCGAGAGAGCAGGAAGTGCAGAGCTCTTCACCTGGGGAGGCAAGACATTGAACAGTAAGCGGTGGCGTGTTCTGGTTTAACTTGAACATTTCGTCGAACGGATGGTGGGCGTCTGGACTATGCAATGCTAGGGCAACGTCTTCAACCTTACCTTGCCTTGCCGAGGAGGAATCCCGACCGCGATCACTGGCCGGACCGCGCGACGAGGCTCCAGACGGCGTCTCCGGTGAAGATGAGCACCGGCGACGGACAGGGGAGGCGCGGCGGCTCGGAGACGGCGGCGGAGGAATAGGCAGGGCAGGAGCGAACGCGGCTCGCGCTCTCTGCTTTGAGCGTGTTTGGCCACAATTTTTTAGGTCTTTAAAACAAGAACCATCTCATGCCTCTTTTTTTTTTTTTTGGTCGGTCATCTCATGCCTCTTTAGGAAGCTAATTGATGAATGATTTAGGAGTTGGCCTAACACAAGGAGAAAATATTCGGCGGTTTGCAAGCGCCATGTCACCGGATGAGATGGCGCGGGGATGTTAATTTATCGCACGCATTGCTGATAAATCTATGGCACGCTTGCTGAATGCTCGAACTTCAGACTTCTAGTCCTTATAGATCGGTTTCCTTAGTTTGGCTTCCTTAAATGTCCAATTGAGATTTTTCGAGACCGATCGATGACAACTCTGGTTTGGTTTGTAAATTTTTACCACATGTATCCTATAGACTACCCCCATTCTAAGTATCTGGAAAAGATCCTGGAAACCGTGGGCGCTACTCACCTGTCACCCTAGTAGCTTGCATAATCCGAAGTGCTACATTAGAAGATGTTGGTTTAGTTACTTAACCTGGAATAATTCAATCTTTCGAAGCATCGATTGTGCATAACACAGGAACAGTTAATGTATTGAAAACTATAAAATTTTATTAATTTATTGCTTAGCAAACGTCCCTAAGACACTTAAAACGAAATTGTTATTTAAATGGTGAAAGTAATTAAAAAAGCACTCTATAGCTATTCTTAAATCTATTTCTCGAAGTGGGATTAACATGTTGTAGGTCGAAATTCGCGTTTCTCTTGTCATGAAAATGAAGCTTTTACTTAAAAAAAAATGTATAACATATGAGGTTTATTAATAGTATCACCTTTTAAAAAGGTCGAACATTTTACTAATTTGTAGGTTTCTTCACAAGATTGAATAGTATATTATTGGGATAAGTGGATTTGAAAGTTCTAAAACTTGTCACAAAAGTGTAATTGAATTTGAAAACTTTTAAAAAATGCAATCAAGTTTTAAAACTTGCCAATCAGTGTAATCGAGTCCTAAAACTTGTTAGCATTTTCCATTTATCAATGAAAAAAAGTTGGACGGATTTAATGGAAGCACTTGATTGCACCAACTCAACAAATTTTAGGATTTGATTACATCAAATTTGAGAGAGACGCATTGGATAGAGATGTAGCTTCAGATGTGGCTGATCCACGGGTTCACCTAAATTGAATTGATCACAACAATTAATCATATCGGCACACGAATTATCTTGTATAAACAAACTAATTGGTCGAGGAATGAGACTGAGCTCACATAGCACATTTAACTACATTTATATAGTTTCATGTGAATTGGACATGTATCAAATTTCCATCCTCAGGCCATTAAATCTGTTGGAATCGTTCTGGTTTTGAAAGTAAACTCTATAAATGCAATGCTACAGATAAATCGAACGTGATTTGATTATTCATATGCAAATTGTTCCTCCAATGAACATTTACCTTTTACTTTTTAATTTTTCTTTAATCTAAATGTTGCGGTGCACGCCTTTTGACTTTTACTAAATTCAGAACTCCCGAAACTTTCACCATACTTAAACTGTTGGTACGTTGATTCACATATAACTTTTTTCGTAATTTTCTAAGTTTTTCAAATGCAAACAAACATGCCATTTCTAATTCCATCGTTATTTTTTAGTGACATGCCCTTTTAAAAAGAGTCTATCACAAATAAAAGCACACGTGCTCTAGGCAACATCAAACAATTCTTCATAATTATCGTAAAATTAAAGGCCGGATATATCTCAGGAGATCAATTACCCGCTTTATCTCATGGAATCTACTCATTTATTTACAACAGACCAATTCTTCATAGTTTTTTGTCTCTCTCATTTTCTTTGACGGGTCCAGTTTAGCCATAACAACTTTCATTTCAGGTTTGTATTCTAATTTGTCATGTCGTGCTGCAAGCACATATTGGCATACCATTTTCATTCAAAATCTCTATGTCATGCTGCAAATACGTATAGCCATGTAATTGTTATGTCACATTTACACCACGATACTAGTTTACATTGCCATGTCATGTCCTTCTCATACTGCTTTTGCAATTTAACTTGCCATGTTATGCCGCAAGTATAAATTGCCATCTCATGTCATACTTGCAATCTCGATGTTGCAATATCTTTTTTGGTTCTTGATTTTTCCTTGCTATTGCACGTCATTCGTTTTTCATTTGTGTCTCATGCATCCACACTCACGCAGAGTCATGCCACTACACTAAAAATGTGTTGAAATATGATAAACAAGTTGAATAAGTGTTTTGGCGCTATTTTAGGTCTTTAAACAAAACATCATGCCTACTTAAGAAGCAAAATGATGAGAGATTTAGGACTACACCAAAGTATGGATGGAAAGGGCGTCATGGGATGTTAATTCTTTGGATGCATAACCAAACCTCTTAATCATAACCGAACCTCGCACTTAAGACTTGTAGTTCTTGTAGACTAGTTTCTTTCATTTCCTTAGGTAATTTGACTTCCTCAAATGTCCATTCTGACTTAGGATTTTCCCAGATCAATTGATGGAAACTCTAATTTGGTTTGTAAATTTTTATCATATGTATTCTATAGACTACTCAATTATAGGATTTGGGGAGATCCTACAAACTGTGGATGCTACTAGGTTGCAACCAAGTTTGCAAATCCGAGGTGCTACACTAGGTGCTGGCTAGTTAAGCATACTTATGGAACATTTTTCAAAGTACTGATTGTGTATAGCACAAGAACCGTTAATGTATTGAAAACTGTAAGATTTTCTTAATTGGTTGCTTAACAAATGTTGGAACACTTAAAATGAAATTCTTATTCAAAACTTGAATTCTTATTCATGGATGCTACTCAATATTTTACAATGCACCCACGCTTATATCAGTATAAACTCTTCTTGATTAGTCCTTTGTCTCACATTTTCTTTTGACAAATCCAATTTTTTCTTGGCTGGAATTCTTCTAAGAGAACCAATTTGTTATATATTTTTCCAAGTCACGCTAAAGGATGGAAGAAGTTAGCATTAATCCCTCTATCAACTAATACCCAGATCGCTGTGACCACCATCACCACCCACAACACCACGCCAATTTTATCTCCGCCGCACATGGTCTTGAAGAGAAGCTCCATGGCCCCGCCTCCGGTGATGACCATCATCACGCACGTGCCCCCCGATAGGTACATCACGGGGAATATGGCAAGCAATTTTCCCAACCCTGGTCCTGAAATTTTATTTTGAAGATACCATTAAATTTAATTATTGTTACATTAATTTGCCTAATTATGAATAATAATCGTGAAAAACTTACAAGCAAATGCACCCCAAAAATCAAAACAACGTCAGAGTGGACTTACACTAACGATTCTTAAACTCCCGCGTTAAAATAGAATATTTGGAAATACTAATCTTTTTTATTGTAATTATTTCACGTGATAACAAATATTTAAATACATAACGGCTTACCGGAGGCAGCAATGGAGAGGTGGAGGAATCTGCTGTAGCGGGTCCCAGGAACTGATTCATGGAGCTGCACGAGAGCCCATACGGTGTACAGTTGCCATAGAAAACCTAAGGACAGAATTATGATTCCCCAGACCCTTCAAAATTAGAAAAAAAAAGAATAATGAGATAATATTCAATAATAACAAATTCGATAGATTAACAAATATAGGTAATGATAAGTTAAATAGACATTTTTATCCAAATTCATTAATAGCAGTTTCGCTTTTAAAGCATGATCATTTAATATATTGGATATTCTCCACTTGCAACTATGTCTTTCTCGACCTTTAAATAAAAATAACGAAAAAGACCCAAAAGTCAATTTATTTTATAGTCAAAATTTTCTTTAAAATTTTTTCTTTGTAGCGGCCATTTTTTACGGGAAAAAATATCTATATCTTGCTGTCTGAACTTAAAATAATATTCGACAAAAAAAAAAGAACTTAAAATAATAAAAATTGATATGGGTAGTCTCTGAACTTTTTGACGAATTGATGAAACTGGTTCTAAATATATAGAACTCGATTGTTAATGGTATAGTGAAAATATGGCTGTTGAGGTTTTAATAACATAAAAAGGGGCGAGAATCAAATCAAGCATGATTCTAGGCTAGCACCACACAATGTCTACAAACACGAGGACATGCAATCCAAATTTTTGGGACAAGTGGTACCGACGAACTTAGTGGGAGTACATGGATGTGTGGCCATGAGAAAAGAGCGTAATACATGGATGAGGACCTTTTTGCTATCACATGATCGCATTCCTAAATACACGAATTTTTTCTTTAGAGATATCATCAGGTGCGGTGCGAAGAGAAAGATCATACGCGAAGTCGAGAATGGTACGGCCAATAAAAGGGAGGTAGAAATGCCAAAAGCTAAAAATCAGCCCTTCTTTTGCGGATGAGAACATGAACCTCAAAAAATGCTATTTTCTTTAAAAAATAATATTAGGTCCATCGTCAGTGCAAAGAGAAAGATCGTGCGTGAAGTCGAGAATTATTTTGCCTCCAATTTCCACAATATTTATTAACAGCTTGTTTTTTTTTGCGGATGAGAACGCCAAGAGGAAAACCACCGGAATTGAAGAGATATCGTTAGCAAGATCATCGATCTAAGAATTAAAACAAAATTCTAGTTCATAGAGTTAAAATAGGGTTAATACCATAAAAAATGCCAAACTGATACATTTGTGATAAATTTACCAAAAACTAATTTTTTGACCACGAAAAACTCTAAATTGGTATATATGTGATAAATTTATCTCAAATTAATTTTTTGACTACCAAAAATCCAAAGCTGGTATATTTATGACAAATTACTGAATTAATACCACGAAAAATCACAAACCGATACAAATATTACAGACAAAGGATATAACCCAAAACTGGTACACCCATCAACTTACACGTGTTATCCAACTCTAATATTTGATGGTAAAGTTTAATGAAAACTAACGGATGGTGAAATTATCACAAGTGTACCAATTTTGGATTTTTTGTGGTTGAAAAATTAGTTGGGAAT